TGTACCTCCACTACGTTTTGCAGTGTGGACCAACGTAGTGGGGGTACATTTTCCCATGAGACTGGGTTGTCCAAATCTGAGACCACGGTCTTGAGACGGAAAAGGGTAGAGTGCCTTCTCAGGGCTGTGGAGGATGTACTGCCCCTATTGGGGGAATTAAAGTATCTTGGGGTCTTATTCATGAATGAGGGAAAGATGGAGGGAGAGATCGATAGGCGGATTGGTGCAGCAGCTGCTGTGAAGCGTGCGCTATACCAATCCATTGTAGTGAAGCCAAAAGCCAAAAGGCCAAAAGACAAGGCTCTTGATTTACCAGTTAATCTACGTTCCTACCCTCATCTATTATCATGAGGTTTCATGACTGAAAGAGGATCCCGGATACAAGCGGCTGAAATGAGTTTTCTCCATAATGTGTATGGGCTCTCCTTTGGAGATAGGGTGAGGAGCTCAGTCATCCAGGGAGGACTCAGAGTAGAACCGCTGCTCCTCAATGTCGAGAGGAGCCAGTTGAGGTGGCTTAGGCATTTGGTTAGGATGCCTCATAGGCGCCTCCCTGGTAAGGTGTTTCAGGCACGTCCCAGTGTGAGGAGACCCAGAGAGAGACCCAGGACACGTTGGAGGGACTATTTTTCTCAGCTGGCAAGGGAACACCTTGGGATTCCCCTGGAGGAGCTGGCCCAAGTGGCTGGGGAGAGGGAGATCTTGGCCTCCCTACTAAAGATGCTACCCCCGCAAACTGACCCCGGATAAACGGAGAAGATGGCTGGAGGGATGGACAATTACTGAAGTTTATGCGCTTAGTCACATATTATTAACCATATAAGTATACATTATTTAACATCCTTTAGCAGTAGTATGGGACAGCAGACCCAGTGTAACAAAAACACAAACAAATGTCTGTTACGATGAGGAGTCACAAAGACTTTCTATTCAGTGAGATCCATATGCAAACGTGTTCCTGCACTGCTATTTGTTTGTTTCATTTTTATCAGACTGAATTTTAAGGAAGCAGGGGATCTAAGCATTTAGTTGTTTCACACATGGCAGACAAACAACACAACTGTCAAAAAAGAAGGAAATGGAAACTCTGGATCATACCTAATTTGCTTGTCATGTTTAAAAGTAAAACCTATTCAGATCAAAATAAGCTCATGGGAATTCTGGTAGCTTTAAAAAAACTATGTTAAAATCATCCAACACTGTGTTTGCTTTCAAAATTTTTTTAAAATTATTTTCTAATGCCCATCGGCAAAGTTATTTCTTTATCTAAAAGATCAATGTAATAGGTACAACTTATACGTTGTCTGTGAAGTCAAATAGCAAATTATCCCTTCAAATGAGATAATTTCACTTAATCTGCAGTGTGCAACTAGATTTGACAAGTCATCCTCATGTGGGAAGCAAACGCTGAAGCTCAAACCAAAAAATTATGTGAAATGGTTGTGCCAGTTTTCTAGTGAGTGGCAGTTACATTCATGTGGATGTGGATTTATATTTTTATTTAATCATATTTCAACTTTGATTACCAGTGTTATGGTTTCTGTGCATTTTCAGCTGTATTTCTGATGAGGTAATCAACACTGTGGAAACAAAAGAGATTTTAGTTTAGCATTCCTGTCAACTTTTTTCTGTAAATTACAATAAACATAAAGATGTTTTACAACAGTTTTGTTACTCGAAAAAAAAAGTGAAATCTGAGTGGTGCAAAAGCTCTGTAAATGCTAGGATCAACGGCTAATTTGAAAAGTCTAGATTTCCAAGTGTAAAACATAGAAAACATTGTGAGACATCTTTAGTTGAGTCTTAGCTTGGAAGGCAGATCACCATGAACTTATGGTGAACTGTTTTGTCGACATGAGTTTCTGTAGCTTGTTTAATGAACAGAAGCTACAAGGTTATTTGAGGAGAGCTGGACTACATTGTTCCTTTGAGTGAGACACAAGCCACTTATGAATACACTCAGCAGCCACTTTATTAGGTACACCTGTCCAACTGCTCATTAACACTTAATTTCTAAGCAGCCAATCAACTCAGTGCATTTAGGCATGTAGACATGGTCAAGACAATCTCCCGCAGTTCAAAGCGAGCATCAGTATGTGGAAGAAAGGTGATTTCAGTGACTTTGAACGTGGCATGAT